AGAAATTTGTGAAAAAACTCTTCCTTCAAATCATCCTGATTTGGCTATTTCATACAACAACATCGGTTTGGTGTATGACAACATGGGAGAGTACTCAAAAGCACTTTCATATTACGAAAAAGCACTTGAAATTAAACAAAAAACTCTTCCTTCAAATCATCCGTCATTGGCTACTTCGTACAATAGCATCGGTTTGGTGTATGACAACATGGGAGAGTACTCAAAAGCGCTTTCATATTATGAACGTGCTCAGGACATAAACCAGCGTACATTACCTCCAACTCATCCTCATATAAAAATTACGAAAGAGAATATTGAAATTGTAAAAAAGAAATTATAAAGAATATTTAATAAATAAATAAAAACATGTTTTGCTCATTTGTTTTTGAATTAATTCTGATTTGTAGTGACTCGCGCGCGTGTACAGAGAACAACTCTGTATATAATAAAAATGTAATGGACAAAGCCGACTGTTAAGGTAATACACATACATATGTATGTGTATAAATGACCTTCTCAGACATATTTACATTTCTAATTCTTTACGAGAGCGTTCTATATAATAAAAGAAGAAAAATAACTCATATGGAATTGAATTGTAATAGTGTTAGAAAGCGCGCGTAATTCAAATATATATATATATATATATGTGTGTGTTTAACGGTTGTTAATTAAGTTTCGTTCAGACAGTCAGTCTTGTGTCTAGATTCTTGTTAGGTTGTTTTTCGTTAGTTTTTTTTAAATAAAAGATAGAATAACTTCTAATCTTAACAATAGTATTGAACGAGGCCTCGTATGATGAAGAAAAAGTTAAAAGCTGCAATATATATATATCGATATGTCACCAACGTATGGTCTAATCGAATCAATCAATTAGTATTCATCATTAATAAAAAAATAATTGATAAGAATAATAACTTATTAATGACGCATTGATCAATTTAGACATATTGAAAATATGGCGAATTACAATTTATTTTATAATGTAGAAAAGTGAATTATAGTCCTCTGATCTCAAATTCAGACCAAGAGAGAAATTGTTTGAAGAGATGTCTTACAATGATTTCTAATTTTTTGATGACCACCATACTTAGGTGTTGTACAGATGACACTATAAAATATAAAAATAAATCAGCGAAATTGAATGTACGCGAAAAGACGGTATTGTCCAAATATTCGGAAATTTTTTGAAAAAAGATTCAAAAGTTTGTTTAACAAAGAAGCATGTACAAGAAAGAAGACAAGTCATTTGATTTGAAGAGAAGTGATGTAGTTTACTTTTTGCTAGTCACCAATAAAGAAAGCTCCATGAGAAGTTTATCGCGATCGATCTCATCGCCCTCGAAATGTCTGGTATGTAGGACTGTGAGAGCTTAGGTTCAATTCTTTCGAACTGGAACTGTCACAGTCCTGTTGGCAAGAGTATTAATTTTAGCTAGAAGGTGTGGGTGTGAATAAAACACGAACACAGTACCCACACTCTTAAGGTACACGTTTGTGTATATTTGCTAATAGCAGTGTAGAACACAGTAAATTAGAATGGCACTCGGTAGACGATAATCATGATAGACGTAGACAACCATAAACATCTATGGAAGAATATTATCATTCTCTTCTGTTAGAACGATATCAGAAAATTTCTAGACTTTTACTCTCCGGATTCCAAGACATAGTCGAAAAAACAACTGATTTTAACAACAAAGTGTGGGTGTACATGTTGATTCTGTACTCACCTAGCACTCGCAAAAACACCCACACTCAACAATCCTGCCATCAGACATCAGATTATCTTTTATTTTAATTTCCTTGAATAGTTTTTATTGATCGATTCATGTGATGCTTGATATAATCTATGAAAATGAAATAATATTTTATGTAAATAAAAAATATGTGTGATTAAATTATTTAAAATAGAAAATCACAATAAGATCTGAATAACATTGGTAGACGCAATCTGATATATAACTGTAAAAGTCAAAATCGTATCTTTGCAACACTTCCTGTAAAAGAACTAAATCTCATATTCATATCGCGTTTCAAACATTATTTTCTAATTTCTCGTTACTAAGATAATATCGATACAAAATGACAACTTTGAATACGTACGTCTGAAAAGAAAGAAAACTCGCAAAGGACTACATATTGATCACATACGCATAGTATATTATAAATAAAACTAAAATTTTCTTGTTTATATAAAAAAATACTATTATATATTACATAGTAAAAAGTTATCTATTTTGTTCTTAGTGCGCACCGGCATTTTTTTCCTAAAAGAAATAAATCTATTTTTTTAAATATGTTGATAAATTTGTTTAACAAACCTGCATAACCTTGTCAAGTTCCATCAATGCTTCTGCTGCAGTATTAACGGCTTCTGTAGTACGACCACTAATCATTGCAGTAACAGTAGATGATGTTGATTGAAATAAATCTAAATTGAAATCTGTTGATTTAGTACGTGATGATATCGAATATGGAACATTATCAAAATGTATTCGAGTTTTTGTTCTGCTCGTGATCGATTTATGAATATTACCATGCCGACCAAGTAAACGTCCTATTTTATTTGATGGAAAAGATAATTCAATACGACGATGAACAGGATTTATCTCGCGTTTTTTATCCTTCGATAATAATCGTTTTGTTGATTGAACTAGATATAAAAATATTTTTTGAAGTTTTTTATTTCAATGATTTAATTACCTTTACAATGTTTTTGCATTAATGTACAAAATTTATTTTTATCAGAAATATCACAGATTAATTTGAGTAATTTATATATTGATATTTTATTATCACCATGAATCATTGTTTTAGACTGAATTAAATAATCAATATTTTCTAAACATTGTCGTGATCTCATTAAATCTGTTTTTAATTTTTCAAATTCATTTTGTTGATCAATCAATTGCTCATCTATTGTTGTCATCGATTCCTCAGCTAAATTGCATGTACATAAAGATTTTTTT